ATGCGATTTTTTCATGTTTCGAGAATATTGAACAGATTGAAATAGATTGAAATACTGTTTTCATATCTTAAGATATGAAAACAGTATTTCAATCTATTTCAATCTGTTCAATATTCTTGAAACATGAAAATCGCATACTCAATGTAAACGATATCTCCCGACGTTTACATACACTCTAAAAAATAGTCGTAGATTAATAAACTATCAAAAAGGTATTGAGACCAATAAACCTTTTAAAAAAACGCTTTTCCGTTTTTTATATCCAAAAAACTAAAAAGCGTTCGTGACAGATGCAAAATGAAAAACGGGCAGTTTTTTATCAAAAATAAAAAACCCTTTTCAGTTTTTTGTCGAGTCTACAAAACTAGCTAAAAAGAAACTGAAGAGTTTGGGGTATTTTAGACTCGACAAAAAACTGAAAAGGGTTTTTTATTTTTGATAAAAAACTGCCCGTTTTTCATTTTGCATCTGTCACGAACGCTTTTTAGTTTTTTGGTCTCAATAAACCCTTTTTGATAGTTTATTAATCTACGACTATTTTTTACAGTGTACGCACTCCAAATGTTCGAATTGTGTTTGCTTCTTTCAAGAGTTTTTAACTGTACCAGTTTTAACTGAGACAGTTAACTGCTTTTTAACTGAAACTGGTGCATACCTAGTAGCTATAGATGAATTCAATAATAAAAAATACTCTTAGGTAAAAGCGTTTCGAAAAGCCGAAGTCTTGCTCACACTTTGTCATCTCAAAATGGAAATTTTAATCACTCTGGCTTAATTAAGTCATCATGCGAAAATCGATAACTTAGAAAACGCAGTCTCCTACAATGGTCAGCTATAAGCCCTTTCCATACTTCACACATTGTGAAATGATTTCACGAGAATAATCCTGGTCTGGCAGCCAAGACTTTGAGTGCCAAATATAAAAATTTGTGGAAGGAAACGAGAGGGCGCTATTAATCTTGCTGAGAACGTTTCAAAATCACTTGCGAGACAAAGAACTGAGTTTCAAAAATAAATCTTTTGATAAGAGTACAAATATGTGCCCGATAATTTAAAATAAAGTTAAAGTCAGCAAAAAAGACACCATTTCTCTCTACCTTAACTCACCGCATCAAAAATAAATTAGCAGTTAGGCCAATAGGCATTCACTAGCTAATAAATCTCTGAAGGAAACACAATTTTTTTTCACAGTAGAGTAACTACGATTCAGTACTCTAAAAATGGATATAAAAGATAATAAAAGACGTAGAAAAGGTCTTTTTAGAGCTTTGAAACAATTCAAAAAAGATTCGGTGCAGTTTTCAATGGTTAATCGAAATATCCGACAACAACTTATTGATTTTTATAAAGATGGTAAGTACTCTGATCCTAACTGAGAGGTAGTCATGTTTCTTTGTTTGCTTTCTAACATTCCAGGTGTAAAAGATCAATCAAGTTCGATTATTTTCAAATCAAAGTGTTCAAATAAATATGGCGGTATAAAAGGCACAGGACAGTCATTCTTCCAGTTCATTTTATTAGAATGTCCATTAATGTCTGATGATGATAATGAAGAATATGTTATAATTCGAACGGAAAAAGAAAATCGTAAGATTATTTTATCTTCTATTTTTTATCTCCTAACTCAACAAATTTGCTGTTGTGAAGGCTGTTTTTCTCTTCTCTCGTCTGGCATTCAAGGATTAGAATACCTGATGTTTTTCATTTCACAAAAACCTATTTTTCTCTGATTTTCAGACTTGCTCACAAAAAACGTCTCTGAAAGAAGTAACCCGAGACTTCTGTACAAAAAGTACTTTAATTTTTTTGAAAAAGAAGAAAAACCTACCTTGAGCAAAATCTTGCGTCTGGCAATCAAACGTTTCAGTGTCAGATTATTGGGAGAAAAAACCAACTTAATTAGAAAGACGCTCTACTTGGCATACATATAAAAAAAGCAACGAGACTTAGCTCTGCAAATTGGGACAATAAAGGTCATTATTAGGCCTCATTCGCTTCGACATATGTTTTCGCTGAGTAAAAAGTGACTTCTTTTAATTTCTGTTTAGAACAAAATTATGATGCTAAACAAGCAACGTATACACGTGTGAAAGAAAAAACTTTGATTCTACCAACGGCTGATCAAATATTTCGTGTAACATATCGATTGTATACAGCTCATTTTCCAAAAATTCCAAATGAGGTTATGATTCAATTGTTGAAACGTCGTTATTTGTTTAATCAACGTGACGTTCATAAAATTTGTGACTTGTTGTGAGTATTCTGATCTTACTCGGTTGTGAAGTTGGTTTAACTGATGAAGTTTCATTCAGCTGTAGACTAATAGTGAATATTAAGTGATGCAGTTCCTCAAAACCCTTACAGAGAAGTAATACGGAAAAAAAAGACGTTTCGTTTGGGCACCTTTTCGGTAGGACTAAACTGCACACTATTAGTGCAACAATCAATATTTACTCATAGGCTTATCGTACTCTCTTTAAACTTAGAAATCGTACCGGATTGTTTCCACATCGTAAAAGACATCCGAATGATCCAGCACCACCAACAGAATGTGATTTTATAACAAGTTTAAGAAAATATGAAGTTTTTGATCAAGAAAATCAGGATCCAAATGAAAATATTATTGATAATGGCTCGGATGAAGATATGGATAAAAGTGCGGATGAAAAATTATCAGATGATGGTGAGGAATTAGATGATTCGAGCAGCAGCAGCAGTAGTAGTAATAGTAAGAAAGAAGATGAAGATGATAACACAACAACGGTCACGAAACAAACACCAACAGCTCCATTACAACAAACAATCACACTTGAAAAACAGCCGGCTGCAGCAGTTGTCACTAATCCAGATGTATCTAAAATTGTTGATACTGTCTTAGTTCAACAACAAGCTGTCATTGCTCCGTCTTCATCTGATTTGGCTCCTGTTGCTGCCGCTGCAAATGTACCGCCACAACAGCATTTACCAGTTGTCAGAAGACCACGGCAAAGACGTCTTCCAGAAGCGGAAGCTCTTAAAAACGTTTTTAGATCATGGAACAGAAACTATTGATTTCAGTCTTTGTGTTTGTGTTTTAGTTGAGAGTTTTCGATGTGACTGTTTTCACATACAAAAAAAGAAAAGAAAACATATTTTGTCAGTTGTCATCAAAAATAATAACAATAATAATAAAAAAGATTCAGAAAATAAATGCAAAACTGTTTTCTTGTTTACTTAGATGCTAGTAGATTGGAATGTAGATT